CGAGCCCTGGTATCGGAGTCCGTGATCCGACGGCCGCAGCTCTCGACCGTCCGATTCCATGGCTACCGCCATCAGAAACACCGCGATCGCTACCCCGATTTCCATGGGAAGCGCCATTCTCTCTCTCTCTCTGCCTCAGTCTTCGTCTCTGTCTCCAGAGACTTTAGGTCCACACACACTGCGTCGTTTTATAAGTGTATGAGCACCAAACACTACACTGTTTGATGACGTGAAAATTTATTTTATTTTGTTGTTTTTATTTTGTCTGAATTCGGAAAACCGTGTGATCGTTGTCGCCTGTCGGAGACCAGTGACCTCTCTCTATTACAATTTAGAATTCACAGAAAGTCTACTATATATGACTGTATCGGTCCTATTATCGCCGCTTGCTTTTTTGTCCTCTACTATTTACCATTTATAAACTCACTCAAAAACTTTTTACTTTCTACTTACTCTGTCAAAATATTAGAAAAATAAAAGCATAATTTCGAGTTTGTATATCAAAGCATATTTTTCGTGAATCTAAGGGCCGTCTGATAACGTTTTTGGAGAATGTTTTCTTAGAATATTTTCAGAGAATGAAAACAAGAAAACGAATTTGCATTTTCAGGAAATGAAAATGCGTTTGGTATATTAATTAGAAAACATCTTCAGGAAACAAAAACAATGAAAACGTGTCTGGTAGTACAATTTGAAATAATAAAATTGTTTTCATTCTCATGGGAACGTGTGCCTCATTTTTGTTCTCTGAAAATGAAAACAACCCCTTAAAACGTTACCGAATGGGCCCTAATATGTTAGCTCTCCACGTCTTTATACAAAAGCATAATTTCTTAAAAAACAAATTGAGAATTTGGAGTTGGAATATCAAGCATATTTTTCGTGAAGCTAATACGTTAGCTCGCCACGTCTTCATATAAATTCTTTGTATCTGGTTTAGTAATTTTTCTCTTAATATTTTACTCAAGTTCAAATTTTACTTGTATATATATCTTGGAAGTATTTAACGTGCATGACAGTAAAAGATGGGTGGGAATTAAATTTTGAAGCAACTTTTTT